ACCTTGCTATTCCTTTCGCACATATGTCAAGCTCTACTCGTGTGAAGGGAATAGTCAACACTAATTTTAAATTTAACTTTAATGGGGCTACCTATAGCTACCTTTATTATACCAAAAGAAAATTAAATATTTATAACATATTTTGAAGATTACTTTATAACACTATCAGAAGGATTTAGAGCTAGGTATTCTTCAGTAAATGTTTCTAGTGACGAAGGTAGAATTGTTTGTGGATCTGTGTTTGTTTGGGCAGAGTATTCAGAAGAAGTTAAGTTATTTGTAGAAGGGCTTACAACCGTCTGTTGAAGTGAAGATGCTGTATAGTATCCTGGATGACTGTGTGAACTAGAAACACTACTTGGTCTTGCAAAATCCGTAAATGTATCGGATCTATATCCAGTTTCGGTTTCAAATATTATATTGTTGATCCGATGTCTCACAATAGCTTTCATTTGTCGATCCATTTGTCTTAACTGACCCGCAATATAATCTCCAAATAAACCATCCTCATCTTTTGTCACATTTGGTCGTTGGGAGACATTCTTCATAATATTCAATGCTTCGGATATCAACTCTTTATTAGGGTTGATTTTAGGACGTTTATTTCGTTGCCAAGTTGTATTTTCTGGCGACATCTGTGGTAAATCATTTTGATTTGATTGTGAATCTCGTTGTGAATCGTGGCTCGTCGACGGTGTGTCCTGCGAAAAAAGACAAAAAAGACTGCCCGTTTAGCCGTTTTACTTTTATTTAATAAAAAATAAATAAGTATATCTAGTCAAAATCAACATTTATTGTGTATTTTTTATTATGGATTTTATTAAAGGCACTGAATAAGTCTTCAACATTTCAATTATTTTTTTTTCAAACACATTTTTTTTTACCTGAGTGGCAACTATTTTGCCAATGCCCGGGAAAGGGTTAAAATGTAAATACAAAGATACACTAATAAATAAACTAATATAATTATATGTCTATGGGGCCCTAGTTGCCTGATTATAAATAAAAAAAAATTAAATCTTTACTTACAGTATCGGTGGTTCCAGTAGGCACATTTTTGTTCTGCAGAAAATTTAGTGATTTGTAGGCAAACCATTTACTATGATAAATATCATCAGTACCCGCACCATACTTATTTGAATTATCTTCTTTTTTTTTCTCTCGGTAATAATGACTAGTTAAATTTTTTATCTTTCTCTCGATTTCCGGAACATCAGTAGCAAATTCACTGGCAATTTCATTAAATGCGTCGTAACGCTTTGGCCGGCTTTTGTAGTCACGATTTTTTGGGTTCCATAATATTTCTTTTAAATGATAGAGGTCTATTAGTTTTATAACTGTTGCATCGTCCCACTCCATATTGGTTAGTTGATAAAAAATAAAAGTGCCGACACTTCACAACAACAGAGAATGAATAAGTGATACGTCACTACTCTATGAAAGCCGGCGGCCAACTGACTGAGTGAGTGGAGAGGGATGCCGTCGGTATCGGCATGCTGCCCCGCCGGCTTGCCCGCGCGGGCGCAAGCCGGCGGCATGATTGTACAAAATAAGGCCGGCGGGTTGGGCCGGCGATCCGTGCCGCCGGGTCAGCGGCTTTGGTGTGTAGACCGCTTAAAAAAACACAAATGCCGGTCTTCCGGCTTCTCTAAAATATGTAACAATTTTTTGTCAATTTCATCTATTTTTGGCTTACGTGAACCGTGCTGTTGTTGAGGCGGTGGTGGTGATTTAAACTAGCTGCTACAATTGCTTTCCGTACTGTCTTCAACATTATTTCCTCTTGAAAGTTTTTCGACCCGATCAGTAGGTAGGCTACTCTCTGTAGGACGTTCACAAAAAATTTTGTTTAAAAACTGTAATTGATCAAAATAAACGTATTTTCGTATAGTAATAGCACCGGCTCCCGATTTTTTTACAGACTTCTTTGTTTCATGATTTGTGATAAGAATCTCGGATATTTACCCATCGTTTCATTACTTCTTTACCTGGAAACAATATAAAAAAATACAAATGCTATACATCATCATTATAACATTGCTCTGATCCCATGGTAAGTATTTATTGTTTATTTTTTGTTTCAGGTACTTAGCTAGCGGGTGTACTTTCACAGACCTACATCTTAACTACAGACTTGGCATTTCAACAGTAAGCAAGATAGTAAATGAAGTATGTTTTAGCATTTGGCATGTTATGCTACCAGACTGCATGCCTACACCTAGTAAAGAGATGTGGGAAAAAATATCCGGAGTTCGAAAAAAGAGCCGATTTTCCGCATTGCATTGGTGCAGTGGAAGGGAAACATATTAGAATTATTAATCCACTTGGCTCAATGTACTACAACTACAAAGGATACTCCTCAATAGTTTTGATGGCCGTAGCAGACACAAACTACCGCTTTGTCTATGTGTACATAGGAAGTTACGGTAAAGATTCATCATCATCATTCATCATTACAGCCTTTCATAAGTCCACTGCTGAACATATGCTTCCCCCAAGGAATGCCACAAAGCACGGTCCTGAGCCACCTGCATCCATCGACTTCCTGCATGCCTTACCAGGTTGTCACTCCATCTCGTGGGGGGTCGCCCTACACTTCGCCTACCGGTACGAGGCTGCCACTCGAGAACCTTTCTTCCCCATCGGTTGTCGGTTCTTCGAGCTATATGGCCGGCCCACTGTAACTTCAGCTTACTAATCCGTTGGGCTATGTCGGTTACTCTAGTTCTACTGCGGATATCCTCATTTCTAAGTTTATCACGCAGAGAAACTCCGAACATAGCCCTCTCCATAGCCACCGCACTTCTGCTCCACGCCTCCGATGTAATGGCACCATGGAGGACGGAATTAAAGAGCCTCTGAAGGACTTCCAGTACCGGTCTTCCACCCGCTTTCAGAAGCTCCGCTGTAATTCCATCCTCGCCTGGGGCCTTACCGTTTTAAGGTGCTGGAGAGCCATTCTAATCTCGCTCAGACTGACGTCCGGGATATCTTCGGAATAGTTTCGGTTGAGACTCGCTCTTGGATCGTTACTCACACTTGCGTGCGGCTCCAACGATGACGTGTACAGCTGCCCATAGAACCTGTCAATCTCACTCAAAATCTCAGGTGTCCCGGAAACGATGCTGCCACATTCTGTCTTCAGCTTTGACAGTTGGCTCTTTCTGGCAGACAGATCGCTGGCAAAGACTTTGGAGCCTTGGTTCCGCTCGATCGCTTCTTCAATACGAGCTGTATAGAAGTTGCGTAAGTCCCGCCGCATGCATTTGGAGATCTGTCTGTTCAGATGCCTGTATGCTGTCAAGTCTCTTGAAGAATGTAGCTTCATCTCCCGTCTAACAGCCATGAGATTAAGAGTGTGATCGGAGAGTTTTTCGTGTTGTTCTGCGGCGGGTCTTGCAGAACTTAGCTCCGACCGCATGGACAGTTTCCACGGGCTTGTCATTCATATCGTCCACTTCATTGCAGTCTTCTAGGCACTGAAAACGGTTTTGTAACTCAAGCTGAAAGGTTTCGGGACTTTGGAACAGAGCACGAGAGGGACGGAGCGTTGACTTCATTACACGAGACCTCTCCAACTTAACGTTTAGATTCACTGTTCCTCTAACCATTCGGTGATCGCTACCAGTTTTCACTCTCGCGATCACGGAGACATCACTGAACAGTTGTCGTCTGGTCGTCATAATGAAGTCAATCTCATTTTTTGTCGAACCGTCGGGGCTCGACCAGGTCCACTTCCTGTGGGGCCGCTTCTGGAAGAAAGAGTTCATCATAAAGAGTCCCTCTTTCTCCATGAAGTCGGCCAGCTGCTGGGCTCTTGGGTTCCGTTGCCCTATTCCAAATTTCCCTACTTTCAGCTCACCGTTCTCTCTTGTGCCTAGTTTTGCATTGAAGTCTCCCATTAACACCGTATATTGGGTTTTGGAGGAATGCATGGCTCTAGAGATATCCTCATACATTTCCTCCACCTCCTCATCGGGGTGTGCCGAGGTTGATGCGTAAACCTGTATGACCTTCAGCGAATACCGTTTGGTGATTCTGAGTATAAGGTACGCAACCCTCGTCGACACACTCCCGATCTTTACAACGTTGTTAACGAGAGACTTGTGGACGATAAATCCGACTCCTCCTTGGGACAGATGGTCGTCCTCCCGGTGATAGAGCAAGTTGCCGGATTTGAGGATTACCGTGTCCTCCCCCTCTCTTCGGACTTCGGATAATCCAATAATATGCCAGCGCAACTTGTCTATCTCTTCTTCCAGCTCCACGATCTTCTCGTCAGTCCTCAGGGTGCGTGCGTTGTACGTTGCCAGGTCGAGTCGTCTAAGGTGGCAACCGAACGTCCACCGGAGATTCTTAGCACCCCCTGCCCCGCCGTTACCGTACCGCCCCACCGTATTTTTATAACTGCTGTAAGTAGCTCTCTGGAATATAGGATTGCTAGGTTTAGCAATAGGCACTTCTGTTGCATCAATAATAATCCTCGTTTTGCTACTTTCATCTTTAAATATTTGAGGCATGTAGTAATGTACTAAATCCTGTCGAGGCCAAATATCAATCATTGACCATAATTTCTGTACAAAGTGAATCCAAGTAACTATTATGTTTGAAACCTCAGTTTTGCTTATATTGAACATTTTAGCTATTTCATAATCAGATTTATTGCGTCTGAGCTTCATCAGTAGTATAAGTAATTGATCCTCAATTGACACACCAATTACTTGACTCCAACGGTATGTAAGATTATTAGCCATTGGCAAGAGGGTGTTGAGCACTAGTTGAAATTTTGAGTATGATTCTAATCCTGTGTAAAACATGAGTGACTCATTATCAGTTAACAATAAATCTGTAGAAAATATTTTTAACATAACACTTGTCAGTGTTCCTACGAACTTGAAATTGTGGGCAGGAGTTAAGTCCTCAAGGTTTTCTGCTTCTAGACACTGTTTACTAGCAATATCCAGAGCCTGACTACACTGTTCACTTGCGATATCCAGAGCCTATGTACAAAATTCTTCAGCAAAATTTAAGTCTTCAGGTCTGGATATAGGCGCAGAAGTGTGCGCCTGCTCAAAAAGCGCCTTTTTAATATTACGTGCTAATAATCGTTCCTCTCGAGCTTGACCTTCCTGTGAAATAGCTTTCGTAGTCCATGCAAACACTGATGGGACAGCAGTTTTTTTCAAGTAACGATGCTGATGTTCATTACCTGAAAATTACCAAAATTGTTAAGGAAAATGTACATATGTGTAGTTTAAGGTATTATAAAACAAAATCAAAAGATATACCTGTATAAATGCTGGTCTTTTGATAATCCGTCTCTAAAAAATGATTACGACATAACCTCGAATTTTTTTTAGGCTTAAAATTTTGTCTTCTTATAGCTTTAAGCCACATTGTTTTTACTTCAGCGTTCTTAGGGAATTGGTGTGCACCAATTTTCTTGCAATAAGGCACTTCACACATTTTTAGCATTGTGAAAATATTTATTTTTCAAAATATCCTATACAGTTTTATCTTTTTTTGGTTAAAGCTATGCTAGCGCCACTTTGACAGTTGCCAACCCCATTGTAATTGTCTTTGTACATAATTGTATCGGTGTTGTGGTGACTTTCGGGACTATATATTGAACATTACGACTTGGCTATTTTAACGGACTCTGATTGCTTTCAAGAACGACTTACCTTGCTGTGATTTTTGGAACTGTGTACCACTCAAACGATAACCTAGCATTCATAAACGGACTTACGCATACGCAATGGAAAGTGTAATTTGTGTAAATAGCGGCTCTGCTGATGTTACAATATTGTTTAAAGATGAACAGAGAAGCAATCGTGCAATATTGCTGTAAATGCATCGTTGTACGCAGAACCATCGGTTGCTGCGCCCATGTTATGACCATTACTTAGTACTTGAGTTTTGCGAGACATCAAAATAATATCGACATCCCTGCACACTTTTTAGACAATATTCTTATTTCCAATTTAGAAAATGAACAATAAACATGAAATAAATCTGTGTTTTATTTCTAATTCAAACATAATAAGTTAATGTACGTGTAAAAACAACTTATACTACCTGTGGCGGGTGGATGAAAAAGGGGAGATCTCACGCCGGGCAAGGTGTTCTGCCCGGGGAGCGGCCAACGTTCCCCGGGCAGAACTTAGTTACTAAGTCGGTAGGGCTGGTTTCATAGTCACGCGTTTGAACAGCGCCGTCCAGACGCACACGCTTGCAAATGTACTAGATAGTAGTCTATAATATTCACGCTGTTCATGCGTGCGCTGTTGAAACTTGGTTGAAACCGTGGTTGATACGCTCGCTGTTCGACGGCATGTCTAGCGGCGTGACTGACAGCCTAAATCCTTATACATTTAGGTACTAGGTATCTTACCGTACCGTATATGCTAATGACAACATCTAAATGCTAACAGCCATTATATACATATATTTTTATTTTTACATTAATACACACAAACATTATCTCTCATTTCAAAACCAATGCTCAGAAAGCAGGTTTGTTAACTACATTCTATGCATTTATACGTTGCACTTACATATACTTAGGCTTTAGAACAAAAATTGCATACCTAATTATGTAGTACCTATCTACTAGAAATAGCTAAATGTCGGATCTATGAAAAACCATAATATTCATGGTTCGATTATAACCTCAAAATCCGATACTTTTTTGAAATATATCTATTATGCAGCTAGTCCGCTATAAAAATAAGATCAAATAGGAATTTACTAATGATCAACAATAAAATACATAATTTTCCGATGCTCTTGGTTCTAGGGCGAACAATGTATGGGCGCAGAGCAATGTCCTTTCTTCACCTCAGGGATAAATGTTTTTTTTTTTATACCAAGTAAGAAAAATATCAGTGTTCATCGTGGCTTTTAATTGATTAGCGTAAGTTAAGAGGATTTTAACATTTTTGAAACGTTGATGTTTTGATTCGCCAATAAGTAGCAGTGGCAATCAATGTGTTTCTTTAGCGTTCGCGCAATCGATAACTGTGACTCTATCTTTACTCATTTTGTGCCCCCGTGCTGCATTTTCACGACGCGATGCTAATGATCTGCTTGGTAGAGCTTTCCAATAAAGACCTGTTTTACTTGTCCGGATTGTATACAAAATCGAAACCGTATTCTTTTCCATTTAGAAATGCTTTTAACTCGTCTACAAAACAATCGACTAAAGCAATGTTAGCAGACAGTTTTTCTCCTTAAATCTCCCACCAATTTGACAAAGCCAATTTATTTTGCAGAGGTGAACGGCAGAGTTGGGAAGGGTCGCCTGTAAAACGCTTAGAAATTCAATAATGTTCGTATTAATTCGTCCTAATATTTCAGAGGACTTCTACTGTTTACTGTTTATTACAAGAGAAAGAATAATTACCCTGTAATAGTAATTAGTAATTGCATTACGCTAATCGTATTTTGCAGTAAACGCTCTCCCTCCAACAAACAGCGGCCGGAATGACGAACGGACGGGGCGCCCGCGCTGCTTCCGCTCCCCGCGCGCCGTTGCTTAATCAATTCGCGCGTTTTTATGCAAAGCTAATGGCATATCAAACGTTATTTAAGTCTATATTTCCGAAACTAAATAAGATACGAAAATTATAAAAACATACGTCTGTAGAGTTTGTATTCCATAACTCGTCTAGCTATTTAACTCGTTTTTATTCCATGACTCTATTCTATGGATAAGTCGAATTATAGAAGATATATTTTCCTAGAATAGTGTGAGGGAAAGCCTCACCTCGACGGTGAGCTGAAGTGCGGGTTGAACGAAATTGGAGAGGAAATGTAAGGGTGTGCACTTACTTTGAATGCAGATGGGCGGATGATAAATGAATGGTGCTGGGTGGCTGGCACGCTCCTGAGCTGGTTATGCCGTTGAATGTATACACGTGCAACTAAAGTCTTATATCATACACTGTCACTTTCACTTTAATGTTTAATTGTTCGTAATGATTATCACTTAGATATATTAGATACCGGCCGGCAATATATACATAATTAATGCGAGCCGATGAGCTGAAGGTCGCGGACGCGCTTTCTTACACCTTTTCTCGAACAAGGGCGGCGCGTGACTCCCTTCCGGGGTTGCGACTGACGCGATACAGCGCTCGCGCCGAATCAATGAATGAGAGAGAGAAAGCGAATCAGGGAATCAATCGTCGCGCGCGAGTGGCGCGAACATCCTGGGGAGCCCGAGAGAGCACCTCTTCCTGGGCTGAATCCAACGGCAGCCTTGCTATCTTGAGCACAGGTCTGCGCAGATGTCCGTAGGCCGTGTCCAGATCCACAACTCGGATCACTCCATCCTTCCCAGGTATTGTGCGGGTAATTCTTCCCAGTTTCCATTGGAGCGGGGGCAGGTTATCTTCTTTGATGAGTACAAGTTCGCCAACTTGAGGAGGTGAGTAAGGGGAAAGCCATTTGAAGCGGGTCTGTAGGGTATGGAGGTAGGATCTGGTCCACAGTGTCCAAAAGCGTTGAGAAAGAGCTTGTATGAGTTGAAAACGTTTAAGAGCAGATAATGGCCTGTCATCAAAGGACGGCTCGGGCAGAGCTGTGAGCGGACGGCCTATAATAAAATGGCCAGCAGTTAAGGGCTGAAGGTCCGACGGGTCGGATGAGAGTGGGCAGAGAGGTCTGGAGTTAAGTACAGCCTCAATTCGTGTCAGAAGTGTGGAAAATTCTTCAAATGTAAGGTGTTGTTCACCAATTACCCGATAAAGTAATTGTTTCGTAGATTTAATGTTAATTTCATGTAACGCGCCAAACCATGGCCCCTTTGGGGGGTTCAACAACCAGGTTACATGCTGGTTGGCTAGTTTGTGTGTGATTGCATCATTATTAGCAGTGAGAAAATTTTGAACTTCTATGAGGAGATTTCTGGAGCCTACATATTTGGTGCCGCAATCTGATCTAATTAGTACCGGCGTACCGCGCCGTGAGATAAATCGTTGTAACGCTGCGAGAAAGGCTTCTGTGGTAAGAGCAGAGACGGCCTCTAAATGAACCGCCTTCGTTGAGAGACACACGAATATACAAAAGTACGCTTTTAAGAGCTTAGCGTTCCGTAATGTACTAGATTTAATGAGAAACCGGCCGGCAAAGTCAGTCGTGACTTGGCTAAATACAGGTTGAGGGTTAACCCTGTCCGCGGGAAGGTCACCCATTAACGGGGCTTCGGGTTGAGCGCGACATCGGAAACATCTTATACATTTAAACACCCTGCGTCTGATCACGCGGCGAGTGGATAGTATCCAGAATTGCTGGCGTAGAATGGCGTGTAGAGTGTCTGAGCCAGGATGGCAGTATATTTTGTGATAGTGGTCAATGATAAGGTCTACTAGTGGGCTGGAGCTGGGCAGAATGAGTGGATGTTGAGCATCGTACCTAATCGAAGCATGAGAGAGACGACCACCGACTCTCAAGAGACCGTCCTTCATAAATTGCGAAAGACGCTGCAGTCGAGCGGTAAAAAGTTTATCTGTTTGAAGACGGTGAAAGTCCTCTGCGAACTCATTTCGTTGAACGGAGCGGACCCAAAATAACAGAGCGTCCCTACGTTCACTAACTGTCAACGGACCAGCGCGTCGTGCCTCTGGACCGCGCTTGCAATTGAAAATGAAACGCCTGATACAAGCCGTCACCCCGACGAGCTTGTCAAGTGAGCTGAAACGAGTGAGCAGATCATGGTCAACATCCGGAATCGCTATATGCGCTGGCAACTTTTTCAGTTTAAGGCCTGGTAAAGCATGATGGCCTAAGGCAACTGGCATCTTGGGCCAGGTGCTAGAGGGCTCTTCGAGCCAACTGGGAGACCACCAGAGATCATGAGCTGATAGAGATTGTGCTGACATGCCCCTGCTTGCACAGTCTGCAGGGTTGAGATTCGTGGGAACATGTCTCCATATAGTGCTAGTCGGACTAGACGTTATTTTTGACACTCGATTGGCCTCGAATGTCTGGAGCCGATGAGGGGGCGTGTTAAGCCAAGCTATAACTATTGTGCTATCCGACCAACAGATATGCTGGTCAATCGCAATATGACCTGATAATTTAGTGGACACACGAGTCATGAGTTGTGATAAAAGAGCTGCAGCTGATAGTTCCAGTTGTTGGCGCGACCTTTGACTTGGCAATGACCAGGTGTACATTGACCTGTCCATTGGCATTGAGCTCATGAAGATAAATGGCAGACGCAAATCCAGCTTCTGATGCGTCCGCGAATCCGTGGAGTGAGTAAGTGGATGTCGGCTTATATTTGCAAATGTGACGAGGTAAGCGGAGATTCGAGAGTTGAGGAAAATCTTGTGAAATGTGCTGCCACTCTGTGTAAACTTCATTGCCAGGGGGTTCGTCCCATCCCAGTTTCAGAATCCATAACTTCTGTAAAAGGAGCTTTGCTCGGAAAATGACCGGTGTGACCCAACCGTTGGGGTCATAGAGTG